AGGGGGCGGGGGGCGCGGGATGCGTCCCGCCGCCCACGCGGTGTTTCCGACGTGGCGTGTTTGCCGCCAGCAGTTTGTTGCAAACAAAAGAAATTCAGTCTGGTCGCGTTGGCAATGGCGGGGTGGGGGAGAGGGGCCCGGCGGGCGCTCCGGACCGTGGACATGGTGGGCTGAGGGGATCCAAGATGGCGCCAGGGCCCGGGGGTGAAGGCGATGGAGGTGGTCATGGAGCCGCTTGGGGTCCAGGGCACTGACCACAGCATTTGCTGCTGAATTCACCACGGCCACTTCAGGCCGGGCGCGGAGAAGGAGGGGGGAGGAAGGCGCCATGTTGTGAAGCGGTGGGAGCCGCCCGCCCTGGCGGGAGTGTGGGTGTGGGCACACGGCGGGGGCGCTGATGTAGAACATGGGCGCGTGGGGGACGGCAAAACCTGGGTGTGCCAGGGTGGAACGGGGATACGCTGAGGGAAAATGTGGATCTGCTGAGGAAAAGCGGCGATCTTCTGAGGCAAAATGGGGATCTACTGGGGAAAGATGCACATCCGCTGAGGGAAAACACGGATCTGAGTTAAAAACGTGGACTTGCTGAGGAAAAATGCAGATGTTCTGAGGAAAATTATGGATGTACTGGGTTAAAAGCAAGAATCGCTCCAAGTACAAATGTCTCCGAGACCTTCCTCCCCACCTTCATGTGTGGAGGAAGGTCCTGCAGACCTTCTGGCTGCATGTTCTCCGTGGCCATGCCCGTGGGACAGGGCGTAGGGCATTTGGGCCTTAATGCAGTGTCAAGGGGGGGGGCAATGCCACGTTCCACTGTGCCATCGCGGGTGTGCCCGCCGCCGGCCATGGACACTGGGGACTGCCTGGGTGCGTGGGTGGCATTCAGCAGCCTGGAAGTGCTGCAAAACAAGACGTGGCTGTCTGAGGCTCTGGTGATGCCTTCACCTCCCTACAGCCCAATTTTTATCTTCCCCTCCCATGGCTGAGCATCCTACAGCTGCTGTCTATGCCCCTCACAGGCTCATCAGGGACATGCGATAGACCATGGGTGCAGGACACCCTCTGATGCACTACATGGTGGGTCACAGACCCATTGAACCCAGTTCTTCTTCATCCAGCCTGGAGAAGAGAAGGCTCCGGGGTGATCTTGTTGCAGCCTTCCAGTACTTAAAGGGGGCCTGCAGGAAAGCTGGAGAGGGGCTTTTTACAAGGGCGTGTAGTGATAAGACAAGGTGCAATGGCTTTAAACTGAAAGAGGGGAGATTTAGATTAGATATAAGGAAGAAATTTTTCACTCAGAGGGTGGTGAGGCACTGGAACAGGTTGGCCAGAGAAGTTGTGGCTGCCCCATCCCTGGAAGTGTTCAAGGCCAGGTTGGATGGGGCTTTGAGCAACCTGGTGTAGTGGAGGGTGTCCCTGCCCATGGCAGGGGGGGTTGGAACTAGATGATCTTTGAGGTCCCTTCCAACCCAAACCATTCTATGATTCTATGGTTCTATGATCCACACGCCTCCGCGGGCCACTTCCTACATGTTACCCCTCAGGGCTGTTATCAGGGGCATAGAGCCTGCATCTGTGATGTTTCAAGGAGCTTGGGTGGGTCAATTGGGATGAAGGATTCTAGGGGAGACAACATTGCCTTTTGCCCTCCCCTCCCCCCGCCCCAAAAGGCAATGTTGTGAGATCTTCACCACCACGATGGACCTTGGGGGCAAACCCTGCCCAAGACCCACACGTGGTTTTGTCTCCCTCAAGGAGGCCAACGGCATGGCTCAAACAAGATCTGCTGGAGCTTTATGCATGAAGGATGATGGTGGCATGTGTTCACGGGGTTAAGCACGGTCTAGAAAGAAGATATTGGGCTCCTCCAGCACTGAGCTCCTGCGCTGACGGCTGCAGCCCAGAGGAAGGACTCTGGGGGCAGCCATGCTCCTCCATGGGCCCGGCGATGCTGCTGTCCCTTGTGCCACCGCTGCTCCCCGGTGCCCCAGCCAACACCCCTGTCTCTGTCTGCACTCCTGTGTTTGTGCTTACGAGCTCTCCGTCCACCTACGCACGGAGCTATTTTTAGCCGGCACTAATCAAGTGTCGGTGCTGGCTCTGCGCGTGGCTTTCAAGCCGAGGGCTCCTGCTTTCGCCGAGCGCTCGCAGGAACTCGGGCGTGTTTTCTTTTAAATTTAGTTGAGAATTTATACAACGCGCCGCAGAGCGGTGCCAGTTATTTCGGGCTTATCACACCTGAGTTAACTCACACTGAGTTATCACCACGGCCTGGCAGAACACCCCCCCGCTGGCCCCGCTCTTGCTGCCAGCAGTGCCCACCTGGCCAAACCCCTCCGGAGCCAGCTCCGTGTCGGGGATGCCCAGCCAGGGGTTGGGTTGCCCCTCTTCACCCGTTTATCTCCAGCACAAGGATGTTGCATCGGTGCTTTGAATCATACAGGAAAGGAAAATACTCTGTGTTCAGCCACAGGGGTGACAGCCTCCTCTGACTAAATCCTCCTCGTCAGGCTGGCCGGCTTCCCTCCCGCTGAGGTTACTCTGGCTGCTCGCAGCTTCCTGCAGACCGTGATGAGACCTGCTCCTCGCCACGTCTTGGGCAGCTCCGATTCAGCCAGAGCAAGCTGGTGTTCGGGTGAGCTGGGCTTCACTTCGGCCACTGAACTGAAACAGCAGCTTGGTGCTTCTTAAGCGGAAGCCTGATGTGATCCGAGCTGGACTTGAGCTTCCGTGCAGAGCTGAAGAACTGCCCTTCCTCTGGTGCCAACCCTTCGCTTGGATCTAGAGCACGCTGTTTCCTCCCCAGTGCAGGGCAGCAAGAGGAAGGAGCTGGGGAACGGCAGCGGTGGGTTTTTTCCCCTGCTCACAGCCCTGCTGCAGGCAAAGAGTCCTTGTGCTGAGGGGGGGTCACCCTGTCCCCGCAGAGAGGCCACAGGGTGCTCTCTGCGCCCACCAGCTCCCATGAGGTGAAGGCTCAGTAGCATCAGGCAGAGCGAGCGCATCCCGTAGGACAGGCTCTTCCCAGGGTGTAAGAGCTCCAGTGTTCACCGAAGAGGAACAACCACCAGCTGCTTGCAGCCCATGCCCAGAGCGGTGAGCACCGCTCCGCGGCTGCAGGGTCAGCCTGCCCCCCAGCAGCCCCCTCCTCACCTCCCACCGCCGCTCGTGGCATCTCCCCTCCCAGGGCAGCGGCCCCCAAGGGTTGGGAACCCTTCTGGGCACTCCTGGGGGTGTGACAAAGAAGGGGTCCATTCAAGAAAACCAGAGAAAAAATTTATTATTTTTCTTTATAAAATATCTCCAATAAGTTATATAGGCAAATATTTAAATTAAAATAAATTAGCTCCACTCTATGCCGGGACACGCGACTGTCCACAAAGTCAAACTAGGATTTGTGTTTCTTTGAAAAAATATGCCCTACATCTCCAATGTAAGATTTGAAAAAAATATCTATGCTCGGTGAGGAGGAAGGAGAAAACTCTGCAACGGACAGAAGGGGTTAAGGTGCAGTGCTGAAGCTGCCTGGCGCCAGTGGCATCTCCACATCCAGCTAAGTGCTAAGAGCATCCTCATCATCGCTCCAGTCGGGAGGAGCGTCTGTCCCAAAGTACCGATCACCGAAGTTCCCTGTGGGGAGAAAAAGAGATGCAGTCATGGTGCAGCTCTGCAGGGAGCCATGGCACCCGTCCTCCAGCCTGCCCCCATCCCACCAGGCGAGGAAGCAAAAGCAGGTTTATCCGACAGCTTAAATGGCACCAAAACTCGTGCAGCAGCAAAACTGGAGCAGCCCGGAGGCTGTTTTAGCACCGGGTGGTGGGGTGTTTCCTGGCACAGCAGAGGTGAGGACAGAAGAAGAGAGTGAGCTTGTTTGGGATGAGATTGTTTAAGGTGGCAGCTCAGGGAACGAGGTGGGCACAGGTCTACTCCAGCTGTCCCATCCCAGCTTCTCCACCTGGGGCTGGAGGAGGCTCACGGCACGTGGAACGGTTCCCTTTGCAAACAAGGTTATGGATCTCAGAGCGTGCATGTTCATCCGAACACCCACGTGGCAGCAGACCCAGGTCCCGTGTAAAATAAGGCCAGACGTAAGCTGCTGCTGACAACCAAGGCTTCACCTCCTTTGGTGAGTGGGACAGAAGCACTGAAAATCCCCCTGCAACAGGTCTTTCCTACCCAGATACTCACCGATGCCGGGGATGATCCGGAAAAGGTCATTCACCTTCTTGTCCACAGCTGTGGTGATGATCTTCACTCGGGGGAAAGCATAGGCGACTGAGTGGACACCCATCTCGGCCATAAGCAGGGAGAGGAGGAAGATCTTGTCTTCTGGGACATCATGATCCTACAGGTAAGGCACAGAGACAGCTCAGCGTAAGGGCACCTACGGCAGGATATGGCCCGTGCCTCCAAGGAGCGGCACTTGCAGCACTCGAGGGCCTTCCTGGAGCCACTTTCCTCCCCTCTCCATGTCCAGCCGGGGTTACTGGGCACAGGACCAAGAAACCAACTAAATCCAGGCTGTTACTACACAAGGAAGGGTTACAGAGTCACCCCATCTTGTGTTGGCTCCCAGGACACCCTCCTTCACAAGGAAGAGGCAGTTCCAGCCCAAGGCCCCTCAGCATGGCTGCAGCTGGTGTTTTTGGGAGCGAACCACCCGCCTTCTGCAGCGTGCCTGACACCCTCCGTACCAGCAGCACCCGCACTGCCATCATGGCTGCTGCGCCCGTGGAGACCGTGCAGTCCATCAGGATGACGTGGTCTTCGCTGATGTCCTTCGCCAGCCGCAGGTAGTGGAGCTGGGCAGGGAAGAGAGATCAGCTTAGAGGGCGTGGGCTGAAGGCAAACGGAGCAACTGGAGCCCTCCTCTGCGAGGGGTGAAGGATCTTCCATGCATCTCCACCTCCGGGACCCCAGCTGTCAGTTTGGAGCCCTGCGCTGGTGCAAACACTTGGACAGCAAACCAGCCCCTGTGGGCACAACCACGCTGGCAAAGCCCACTTCCAAAGCTTCCAAAGCACTCGCTTCCTGAGCACTCACGCCCTGCCAAGATCAACCCTTGGATGGCTGAAGAGCTCTCAGGAAATTCCCGAGTCACCCCCACATGCAAGCTAACGCCGGGAGATGCACTCGGCAGCCCAGGACCATGGGCTTTACCTCCGGCTCGCCCGTGTTGCAGTTGGTCTGGATGAGGATGGTCCCGATGCGGACGTCCTTGCACACCGCTCGCAGCGCCGGCTCCATGGTCTCGCCCGCTCGCAGGATAGACACCCCGGTGATCTGTGGAAGGCACAGTGCGGGAGGTACACGCCACGCCAGTACGGCACTGGGACTCTAACGCGCAACCCCAAAGCATGTCCCTTCCAAGAGGGTTGTGCTGCTCCCAGTCCAGGCTGCCTCTCCCAGTGACATTGCTGATGGCACCTCTGGCCACCACCCTGCCACCTGTCCCGATGATACAGGGTATTGTACTCATGATGGCAAGCACCAAACCCATGCCTGATGGAAGCCCCAAGAAGCCAGGGGTGTCCTTACCCTGCACCCACAGGGCTTTCAAAGCAGCCCGACAGGGCAGGGTTGAATAGTACCTTTTGCTTCCACTTACTTGCTTCCCGCTGTAGGTCCTCCCTTCGTAGTCCTGTCCCTGAGGGGTCTGGACTGTGCAACTCTACAAAAACCATGGGAGAAGCATTACCAGGGGCTCTGACCTCTTGGACGAGCCCTGGTAGACTCATAGAATCATAGAACAGTTTGGGTTGGAAGGGACTTTAAAGATCATCTAGTTCCAACCCCCCTGCCATGGGCAGGGACACCTTCCACTAGACCAGGTTGCTCAAAGCCTCATCCAATGGCACCTCATCCTCATGGTACCGGGGACCCAGTCAGGTGCTGGTCTGGAAACTGAGGCTGGACAAAGAGTTGTCACCCAGGGTCACACCATTGCCCCACGGCCTCGGGGAGCCCTGCCCCATTTTAACCTAGCAGGAAAGGGCTGATCCACAGGGAAAGTTGGAGAAGCAGTGCCAGGACTGTCCCGGCTCCCTGGCAGTTACGGGTTAGGAATCGGAGAGGAAACATAGCGCCTGCTGCCCAGCTGCACCCCTGAACCCACCTGGAACGGGAGCAAGGAGAGCGCGTGCTCAATCAGCAACCGCATCAGCCTCTTGGAGTAGAAAATGAACTCGTCTCTGCTGGTCTCCTTGTTTCTAGAGGTGGGGGGAAAGCCAACGTAAGCCTTGGCCCAAAATGTGCCCCAGGAGATGCTGGCAGAGGTCAGAGGCTGCGTGGAGAAGGGCAGCCCTTGCCCCGTCTGCCTGTTTGCATGGGGCCCACCGGCTGACCCTGGGATCGCGGTGGCAGTTTTAAGGTAAAAAGCAGAAAAATTGTTGCCAAGACCACGGAGCGCTCACAGCACAGCTCCTGTACCCAGGGCCCACCACCGCCTCTCCTGCCTCGTGTCCCCGAGTCACGAGGACAGGGCACAAGAGGGATTTGGGAGTTCGAAGTGAGCCGAGCGGTGGTTACCTGATGATGGTGTGCATGCCCCTCACCTGAGGGGTGCTCTTCAGCACGCTGAGGGTCTGAGGAAGCGGGTGGCACTGGTGGGCAGATGCCAGGGCGGCCCTGAAAACCAAACACGCGGTCAGAAGGTCTCCAGGCAAGGCTGCCCGAAGGCTGGTGCACAGCACACGGCCGGAGCCATCCTCCCAGATGTCATCTCACACCACAAATGCACCCCGAGGCCATCCAGCCGAGCTGAACGAGCGGCCAGCCCTGCCCGGTCCCCTGCCATGGCAAAGGGACCTGCTCCCACGAACGGGGCAGTGGTGGAGCCAGGAGGACCTTGCAGCCCAAGGACCTGCCCTTCCTGCTGGGCAGCAACCCGTGGTTGGCCCATCTTGGTTTCCACTGGTTGGGAAGACAGTGGAAAATAAAATCAAAACCTTCTCCTGCTTGGGAATCATATCTGGTGGTGGATCTTGAGCTCCTGGGGTGAGGAGGAGGTGTTGTGGTTATCTCTGTCCTACAGGCGCCAGATGTCACCAGGAACGGGACAGGCCGCCAGGCCCACAGTGCTGGCACACGGCTCAATCGGAGCCAGGCGGCAACGAGCCCATTTCAGAGAGCGCCTGGCCCGTTCAAGGACAGTTGGATCAACACCAAATTGGGAAAAGCTTCAAGACTTTCGTGTGACTCATCTCCACACAACTAATAGGGTTGGGAGCTATTCTTGGATCAAGGGAACACCATTCCCGGGGAAGCGCACAATGGAGCCCCATTAGTCACCTCTCTCTTTCAGAGCAGTGCTAATGAGATGAAGGTCACATCTCTCCAGCTTCCACGCGGCTGGGCAGGACGGACAAGCGACTTTGTCTGGGAGGAGGGCTGGGGTCCGAAAGCCACACGTCAGATCACAAACGTGCCAGCGGCTGCATCCCATCAGAGAGATGGTGGGAGAAGGAGGAAAGAGCAAACGAACGAAAGCACGGGGTGATTAAGATTCCAAATCAAGCAGAAACCTGGATTAATTGCACACACACAAACACGCAAGCGGAGAAGAAGACAGAGAAGATGACTGGGTAGGAATGGAGGAGAGCAGGGCTAGATGACTTGAGGCCTCCATCCACATAGCCATCTCCTGGTCTTGGCCAACCAACACCAAACGAGACATTCCCAAGGCCTGTGGGTACTTAAGGGCTCCTTCTTGCTTTTGCCAACTCCGGTCCTGCGTAGCAGCAAAGGGCCCCTACGCAGGGAACGCTCCTGAGAGCCAAGACAGCTCGTGGCT